ACAGTCTAGTGGAGAAAAGCCGAAAGTTCTGGCTCTCAATACCCTATGTGAAGAACGTATCAGAGGCGACGGCAAGAATCCTAAAACCCTTTGCGATTGGCGTGGCTCCTAAACTAGGATGCATAATCAGGCAGCAAATCCCGAAGCCCAAAGATCCGCTACCAATAAAAGAAGAATCAGCGGTGGTCTGCAGCATACCATGCCTAAATTGCAGTGCGAAGTATGTTGGTGAAACGGGCAAACGCCTCGGTACAAGATTACACAAACACCAGCTTGCAATAAACTGTAGGACAAGCTGTCTTTGGCCTATAGCCACATACAAGAGCTGAGCTATAACTTTGTCTTTGGGAAAGCGAGAGTAAATGGTCGAGCCGATGAGAAGATAACCAGACTGGTGTCCGAAGGTTGGTCCTGAACTGGAACACTCAACCGAGTCATAGATCTACATCCCGATTACTACGCGCTGTGTACGAGGCTCGGGTCAGTTCAGACAGGGCCAATATGACAGGCGAGCACGCGGAACGGAGTGCCAGAGCTTACAGAAAGGAGTGGAATTAGTGGCCAGAGGTTACGTGACCAAAGTCGAACACTGTCTCACCGATGTGTCCGCGAAGCTGAATACTACTCACATGAACAGCAACGACCGACCGGTTCACCGACTGACGTGGGAGAAGCCAACAGGCACGCCGACTTGACTACAACTACGTCGGCCCCCAAGGAAACAAAAGTCACGCAAGCCCGTCAGCGGTCAGCCCCGGAGAAGTCTGAGGCAGTCAGCGGCAAACGGGAAGGTCAAAGTTCGGGCATCCAGCAAGGCTAGAATACGAGGCACAAGACGAGGATGAACAAATCAAGACCGGCAGCAGCAACAAGCGCACTACAATCATGACAGAAACGAGGAAGTTCCCGAAACGTCAGTTCAAATACAATTTGGTCCACGAATCCGCCCTCTCTTCTTCGTCTTCTTTGGGAGATGATAAACGCGACATGCGAGTATGCATACGAGTGTATTTATACTAGTGTTTACCCAAAAACGAGAATCATTTTCTGTAGGCAAGCGGGTTGGCGATACTGTCTTCTACCTCTAGGCACGTTTATGAGGCCTCCTCCTGCTCCCTTTACCAAGAAGCGTTCGTGGGAAACCATCGCAGCTGACAGAGTGACTGTTTTACTAAACCCCCTCTCATCGCTCTCTGTGGTTTTGCGATGGCAAACTTTAATGAACAACGTTACAACATCAAATTCTTGTCTGCCCTTGATGGTTTGTTTTTTAGACATCAAAAGACTCATTCACGCTGAATTTTTCCTCACGGATGTTCAGTGGAAAAGAACGTTCAGGAAAGGTGGTTGGTTGTTCCTTTCCGCCTCCATTGTGAATTGGATGCCCGGAAAAACGGAATTCGGAGCATTATGAAATCTGTCTATCAGTTCTCGTTTGGTGAAGACGAAAGTATCGTCGACGTATTGAGTCTAAAACGTTGACCCACAAATTTTGGAAACCACAATCTCGGGCCTCTGGATGTCCTTGTCCATCGGAAACTCAACCGAAAAAAAACGCCGATGTATAGGAGGGCCACCTCCACGCTAAATCCTAATTTACCACAATAAGCACCCGCTATGTCACAAACGCAGTTGTGTGCAAACTTTTACAGTAGGGCAGAAACGCACTTTAGCGAGTTGGACGACCAAAGAACAGAACTCTGCTACCTCCAGCACCTCTTCATGGCCAATGGACGCCTCCGTAAATTCATCGAGCGCAGCAGGCAGCCAAAGCCAAGCCAAAATCCGCTGACAGAGCAATCAGAAGTCTGGCGTGCACTGTCAAATCTTGACGGCATCTCCGAGGATGCTTCCTTCCTCCTAAGACCGTTGGGGATCGACACCGCTCATCGACCGGGGTCAGCCATTCGAAATCTAGTCATGATACCAATGGTTCCCCTTCTACGAGGTCAACCAATAAACGTCATCTACCAGGTCCATTGCAGCTCCTGCGAAGACGCAGTCATCAATACTGCTGTTTCAACCACACATCCGGCAGATGGGAAGAAATGCGGTCCTAGGGACCCAGGAAGGCAACTAAGGTCAATGAGCAGGCGATGGCCACAAACGTGCAAACGCCGTCCCCAACGAGGGACATACAGATTGACGGCAGTTCCTCCCTCCTTCCCCCTCCGTCCCGGTGACTACAAAGGTGATCCCTATGCGTATGTGGTCGACGAGAGCCAAAGTCGATCAACGACTCCCCTATTCCGTCCTCCCTGCGTTCTACACCTCTAAGCTAGATCCTAACTAACTAAGGCTTTGTTAACATGACCGTCAACCCCTTATAAATACTATGAGACTCGACACGATAACCACTTCCAGCTGTTTTTGAAACGTCAGGACGATATAATTATGGTTTCTGGTATCCCCTTTTCATCGTAGGTATATAAACGTATATATCTGTACTTATTTGTGCCACGTGGCGGCTGATTGTATGATTTATAATGCCGCCTGGAGGCGAACCGTCATTGAAATACCCAAAACAAAACAAGAGATATCATGGAGATGCGTGCTGGTTGTCATCCTGCTGTTGGAGAAAGTTTTGGTTATCATACTCATTGCGGGTCCGGATACTTGACTTTATGAAACCATTCCCTTACCAATTTGAAGCATTTTTATAGTGCCATTTATGTGCTGTATTCACAAATTCCAGCCGTTCGGAACAAACCATGATACATGCACGTAGGTTGACCCATTTTCTTCGCAAAATCAGTTCACCGACTCAGGACTCGCAACTTCGGCGTCACTCGTCATTGGACAATTATGACACGGACGGTTTGCAGATTAGAATAAAAATTATTTTCTACTGTAAGGCATTGAGTTAATATGTGCTGGTCTTGTTCTCCTCGCATAAAGGCAAAAAAATGTAAGCGGACCATAAAGATAGGTTGGACATCCACCGAATTCACTACAAACGAAGTAATACACAAGTCACCACAGCACACGTCTCATAGAACAGCAATGGATCTCGTCGCTTGCGACAACTAGCCTGTGATACTGGATTTTCCAAACCGCCAGCCGAGTGTTTTGTCGTTTTCAGTGACCAGACTCTGCCCATCGCTCTGACGGGAGGGGGAAACCGGCAGAGAGCAGTCAACCCATGCCCTGAACGTATGCCTGAGGCCTGGGCTTGCTAGAAGAAGGGTACCCGACTTTTAGTAACGCTTATACGTCGGTATTTTATGTCAGGAGGCTGACTTAATCCTTCATCCTTGCCAGCCATCCCGACTTAGTCTAACCGTTAGATTATAATGATTGAAGGAATAAAGAGAGGGAGAGAGAAGGCGAGTAAGGCCGGTGCTGTACTGGTCTTCCTATTTATGATAAAATTCTCATGTCCTTAACAAAATCTCCCAACCCACTACCAGCGAAAAATTCAAAGTCTCACGTTAACGGCTACATAACATACTGCAGGTGAGAAATAACGCGTCACTCGATAACCGCCTAATTGCTTTTGCAGTCTTTTTTGAACCACCGGATGATCGCCTAATTAAGAACAGGCCTCGGAACGATGCCTTATCGTGTTGACTTCTCACATTAAAAGAGCTGATGAGGGGTGCTCCAGGGTCCTATTTACGGTTGATGGATAACAAAAAGCAGCAATACATGTCTTACCTTTTTCCTCAGGCGATTTTATGTCTTCCACGGCGATTTAAAGGACATTACGCGGTCTAGCCTCATAGCATGTCCTTAGAATGTAGTACAGTAAAATTGCAGAGCCCCTACCCAGAACAATTTATTTTATTTGAAAAAATATGTGTTTACTCTGAACCACAGGGATATCTGTATGCGATGACAATCAACATACATAGGATCTATAGCATTATGATACAGTCCGACCTATATAATCACGTACAGGTTGTTATGGAGGTATTACGTTCTGATCTTACATTTTTGAATATGCCATAATAATGTTTTCATCAAGAAGAGAGAAGCATGGTAGGCGGAACAAAGGTTTTATTCTCATGACGCTTCGGACTAATAATCCAATTCACCATATGAGGCAGCATCAGATAAAAGTAATGGAAGATTAATGGGAGAGGTACGTTCACTATTCTGCTGCATGCCTGCCACGACTGGCGGCTGCCATACTCATCGCACATAATTGCAGATAGTATAATAATGGCATAAGTGCTTATGAATGAGTCGTTAATCGACTCATTCTAGCCATTAGTGCTGAATCCTGGTGTGATGGTGGCTCGCCAATTTGGCCTGCCGACACTGACACTGCAACCAGTGCTCGCTCTCACTCCCTGTGAGGTTAATTACCGTGCCTGAGCACATTCCAAATTTGAACATGTATGGGGAAGTCGTTGTGCTTGAAAATAGACTTATGACCTTAAAAGCATGCATCAACCAGTTTGCTGCTCACGCAATTGTGACTTCTCGCGATAATCTCGGTCTCATCCATTTTAAATGTGTAACGGATTCCCGACGAAAGAGCCACGACCCTGGAGCTGTCGTCTTTCCTCCTCACGGGTACTGCATGCCCGGCCATCCGCGTCAGGAGTGGTCTTCCAAATTCCCTAACTCTGCCCACAATTGCATCAGACCCAATCATACACTCCAGGCGTTTTCTGCCGTTGCAGTGGCTTCTTCGGTCTCGCTACTTGGCTTTCTACGGTTGCCTCCGGTTTGTTTACAATTCTAACTTAAAGTGGTGCATTCTGCAGTGTGCAGTTCTCGACAGAAAGATTGAGCATATCTGGTTGACGTTGATGGACCAGGAGTGGTAAATTGTTTATACGATCACTGGCTGGTAATTAGACTGAAAACTGACTAAATGTCAAGCATGAACACCACCGAAAAGTTCCCGAACTTCCCTACTGTTAACAAAATAAGTGCACTCCTCTCACCCATATCGCTACGAGACGACGAAACGGAGAATCGCCTCGGACACGCCCAAATCATCCAGCTCCTGAAGTTCTGTCTCAAGACGTACTTTACATTCGACGGAACAATCTATGAGCAGGTGAAGGGAACGCCAATGGGTTCGCCGATTTCGGGACTCATAGCCGAGGCGGTCATACAACGGCTGGAGTCGCTGGTTTTCCGACACCACAGACCGAAATGCTGGGCTCGGTATGTGGATGACACCTTCGTCGTCATCGAACGGGATCAGGTGCTGACTTTCAAAGAACAACTCAACGCCATCTTCCCGGACATTCAATTTACGATGGAGGAGAAAAACAATCAGCTGGCCTTCCTGGATGTCCTCGTCTGCCGCAAAGATTGTGGTGGCCTAAAAACC